CCTGATAACCTCACGGAAAAACAAATTAGTTTTAAATCAGGACTATATATTTTTATACATAAGCAAGAATGTTGTAAGAAAAATTCTTCTTCTTCTTAGAAAAATTTTAATCTTGATTTGATTAAATTTTTATATTGATGCAAATATTTATAGGTATTCTCATTATTATAAGCAAGAATATTATAATCTTTACCTTTTTAGAAAATTTTTAGTCTTGCGACTTGAGCAAAAGTAATACTTGCATCAATACTTGCATCAAAAATTCAATTAAGATTAAAATTTTTCAAGAAGATTATTTTTGCTTATATGAGAATATTTGTCTTGATTTAATTTTTTTTTCTATGCTCTGATGCTTCCATATTAGAATAATTTAGATTGACAACTGACATTCTTTGCTCCGGCAAGTTGGCTTTCCCCGGAGATATCTGGAAAATAATTAATTTTTTTATTATAACGAAGTTAATAAAATGTATCCGGCAACCATACAATCTTGTCTGATGCAATCTTGAATAAATCATACGAATGCAAAAAAGAAGATTAGAAAAATTAAAGCAGACTTTATCGAATGGAATCTCTCTCGTAAAGTCTGTGAGAGGGAATGATCACTTTTTTTGCTGTTATATTTAACGGAAAGAAAAAAAAACAATCTGTAAGACACATAATAATCCGAGAGGCCTTTTATTTCATTACGTACCCTGGAACTTGCGCCGTCACAATTACTATATACGAGCGATGTAGATACAGTCGAAATATGTAATTTAAGCGTGTAGTGCGATACTCATTTAAGATTATCGCAAAGTATGTAATAACGTATATGACGGGTACGTACGACGTTCGTAAACTAGAGCCGACGTATTGCGATAAAAGCATAATTCCAAACATTAACGTCCGATTTCTAATACCATTCCTCAATTAGCCGTCGTCGTAATATCGTGATTTTTCGGCTAATTTATGATCGCGATTAACGAACTCCCGCGAGATCATCCCAAGTGCAGGCATTTGTACGGTACTCTAACGGTTTCGGGAAATTGAAATGTGAAATCGATTGTATGTTATATCGTTTCACGGCATATCACTAAAATACGTTCCCGCGCATTTAGTTGCAATCAAGTTTGATGACGACAGTCGTTACTGGCGTCTGTCCGCGTGTTCCCGTTCCACGCAGCTTCTATCTGTATGATTGAGTACACGCATTTTGAAAAGATCGGTACATCCAATTCCAATTACAATGTCAACCTCTTCGACGAATTTGAAATTGTTCGTACCTCGGTATCTTCTGAATCATCAAGTTAAAATTCTTCCAAGAAAAAAAAATTCTAGTTGAGTTGCAGCGAATTTTCCACATCGTTTCTGTCGAGAAATTAATCCATATACTTTTATCTTAAAAGACCTAAAATGTTTTAAATTCGTTGCTGCACGTCAGGCCTGATCGGCGAACCGATTTGTCCGGCGGACAAGAACGTTCGATTTATCGACCGATCGTTAGCGGGTCTTTTTGAGAACACGTTCGCGCGCTGTTACACGTCGGGATACGTTACTAATTAGCTGACGCCCGTTAATGGCCCGGGACTCCATTAAATTGTAAAATATTTAAATAACTCGTCGGTCGGGCGTGTCCGGCCGCGAATTACTCGCCGTAAGTCAATCCCGAGGGACTCCCCGAGTGCGGCCTATCGAGAGAGAAGCAAAATAATGTATGTGCGAGTTAATGGGGTATTTTTCGGAAAGCTGACGAGCTCGTAAATTAATATTGCTATCCGATGCGCATCTTCTTGCAACATTGAAGTGGCGCATTAAAAAATTAAGCCCACTCTTGAAATTTTTAGAATACCTGCAGAATTGCAAATTTACATAAATAATTTCTTTAATTTTAATTATCACGACGAATGGATTGTTTTTAAAATATCTTGATATATTATTTAATTTATATTTCTCATTGTCATATATAATAATGTGATAATTAATAGTACAAAATATAACCATAAGGAAGTTGTCACTAAATCAAATATAAAAATATTTATAAAACGCGATATTTTTGATAAAAGTTTAATTTATTTAATAAATTTATTTAATAAAAAACACATTCTTTTTTTATCATAGTTATTTATTCATTATAAAGAAAGAATAAGGAGGTAATATTAAGATTACAATGTATATAGCTGGTTCGGTTTAAGAAATAGGAGAAATGATCTTCGATGTCGAGCCTGATTGTAATCTTATTATTGAAAAAGATAAAAGGGCGTGACTTAATTTACTTTCTTATATCTTTTTGCAATACTATTATCAGGTTGACAATTGTTGTAATTGTTCCTCGAATTACATCGATAGCGTCGTAAAGATCTCAGATGGATTCTTAAGGAAGGAATTGGAAATGGGAATGTCACCCAGATGATAGGCTGTCGGTATGCGTGCGTGTCATATATTTTGTAAACGGGATAGGTGATTGTAAGGTCTTGTTAAAAATGACACGCAGATCGTTACAGTTATTTACAGGCGCCTTACACGCTAAGTACTCTTATGCAGTCGTAAAACCTATAGCAATAATGTAGAATATCTCGATTGTAAATAAAGTATATAGATTCATATATATATATATAATATATATATATATAAATAGTAAATTTTTCTTTTTTCTAGTTCTTCTCATTGTCTAAACGTATGTATAACATTTCGTGTAAAAGTAAATAAAACTACACGCTCTTAGGCTTTACGCGATCAACGATTAATGCTGTGCGAGGCCTTCTGTTGCGATCGCGACAGAAAGGATATTTACATATTTTTTGTATTTCTCGTAAATTTTATTTTTCCTCAGTTTAATATTTTAGTTAGTAATCTTTAAAATTTCAACTTTCCGTCGCGATGCGGAGTAACCTCGTCCCAAGTGGACGGACACTTTTCGATGATTTTTACATAAGGATCACTTTGAAGTGAGTAACTGTTATCGTCTTTCTCTAAAGAAAAAGGAACAGTTTACACGGTTCTCAATCAATTCTAGCAGGTTCAGAAAGTCAGTTACAAAATGTTTAATTAAAAAATATTTAGGAAATTCTATATTCTATATACATGTTAAAAAATTTTAAAAACATATAAGCAAATTTTAATTTTATTTTATTTTAAATTTTAATAAAAATTATAAGCGAGACAGAGATATTAGATATAATTAGATATTTATAGACTAAACAATGGCATAGGCTGCTCGTCACCCTGATAAAATTATAATGTTCACGAAAAATTGGTATTTAACAATATATCATGACACGGATAATACCCGTAAATGTATTAACTTTTTATTAAATGTGATAATTTTTTATGGCGATAAGTAAATTTTTATATTTATTATGTTTAATCTATATGTTAAATTTAATATTAAATCAGAAAGTAGAAAAATTTATACAAAAAAGTCTACAAACAGACATATATTACATTTCTTATTATCAATCAAATATTACATATGAATTATATTTAAATATTCATTTGTTATTAATTTGGTGAAATTAATATAATTTTAACAAAGTTCCACTTACAGGGAACTTGATCCTGCTAGAATTAACCTGTTTCATGCTTTTTTAATGATCTTTTTTAATGATCAGCGTTGCATCAGGCTAATATCTCACATGTCTTACAATAAATTGGACGAATAACTTACAGAATAAAAATTTTTTCCTGTATCAAACTGCTAATGTAATTTGATAAATTCATCATATAACATGAATGATATTAGTCATGATAGAAGCTGATGTGATTACCACGAACTAATTAAGAAATCTATCTCTTGCGTGCGAAACAGATCCAAACAATATATCGCGCGAGCGAATCCCTCGATTTACATAGTTCTATTAATTCCCTCGCATACTGTAAATTATTTACATAGTATAATGCACATGAGCAACGGTAATTTCACTCTTTTTTCTTTTCTATACCGCGTTTCTTTTTGTCCTGGAATGATATTCTAGATATGAAATGTTAATCAAATGATAAGTGAAAAGAAAGTTTGACGAAATTGCATTATAATGAAATTTTTTCTCATTAGTAATTATATCCCTTTCATTAATAATTATAGTCCTAAATGTCAAATTATCAATTTTAAAAAGAGAACGATTGAACAAATGTTCTACTTTTTTAATTAGCTTCATGTTATTACGATTAAATTGAATTTATTTCAATCAACTGACACGATCAGCGTGAAGTCAAAAAGATTGCGATAAATTTGAGATTAAAAAAAATAACCAATAATTGATTGATTCGGTGCAATATCAAATATTTGTAATGTGAATTTCTGTTCATCGCGCAGATGAACAAGTAATGTATAAATCGCAGTGCTTAAGAATTTTGTATAATAACATTTGTATTATTAATTTTTTATTAAATTTGGTTGCGCCATGCAAAAAATATATAAATTTCGATTTGAGGCCGAGCTTTCCTCGTGACGTACACTCTCCTTCTTACTTATATTTTACTAGAAGTGTATATTAAAATTTTATCGTGAGTTTGACGATAGACTTTCTAGATGACAGAACTTATCACATTCCATGTTATATTTCAATACTAATGAATCTGCTCCAATCAACATATTAGCGCTCGCTTCGTTATTAGTACAATTATCATTTATCATGAAATTCTAAGTCCGTCGATTATCAATAACTAACTGACCAACACTTACTCGAATCATAGTCTGACCAATGTGGCGTTAAATATCTAAAATCATCATAGTTGAAATTGTTATATGACTGCTTGCGAACTTGCAATCGACTAAATATTTTGAAACAACAAGAAGATCATAGATGGCATTAATCGGCAAACCGGATCTTAGTGTCGAATAATTTTTCCTTCGTTTTCTTGAATATATATAAATTCAAGACAAATACTTTATATCGCGAATTACGTGTCGTGAAATTACCAAACTTGTAACGTAGCTTGCTCAAAGCAATACCTGGATTTCCTCTCTCAATAAATCGATAATCAATTTCTAAAATCATCCCCTTCCCCTAAAATCATCAATCAACCCCTCACTCAACAAAATTCTTATTGCGAAAAATATCACCCCAGCCAGGAACCGAACCTGGATCACTCGCTTTCCGTGCGAGTGTCTTAACTATTCGATCACCGAGGCACCTGTGGTAATATTTTGATATTTTCTTAATACGCGCGTCACATATTGGACAAACTTTGATCTTAAATGCATCTAAAAACTTGACGAGTTCATCCACTTGCCAACATTCTCACTTCCGGAACCTGCTCGATTCCCGATCCATCGATCCATGACCGTCCGAGCCGATTCAGGACAGACTCGCTCATTGTCCGTCGCACTCAGCCGGCACCGTTTCAACTTATGAGGTCGCCATTATTACGCGCTTTCTCCAGATACGCGCGAGCTTTGTATCTCAGCGAGGCGATGCTGTTGGTCCTTCTGTCGATGTCCGGTAATCCTACGCTGCCCGTGGGCGAACTCTGCGGCGAGGTGGCCGTCAGTGGTGGTGGGGGTGGCGCTACTACTGGGGGATGTGGTAGGACGATCGCGGGGGCAGGTGGCGGGGGCGGGGGCGGCGAACCGCGGACCAATTTCGGTTGTGCCGCCGATATATTCGCCAGTAAACTTTGGAAGGAGGCGGCGGATGTGTACGGCAGGGGCATGCCGGGCGGCAGCAGCGGCGGCGGGGCCCGATGATAGGGATGAGCGGCGTAACCACCGGGGAGGACCGGGCCGTGACCCAGCGGCTGATAGCGGAAGGCCTCGAAGGTCTTCCTATGGGAGAAGTTGGCCAGGTGGGTGAAGGGGTTCGGCAAGGTCGGCGCCACGATCGCCGACGGTGGTGGGTACGGAGTGTAGGGATGCGCCTGGGGCCCAACCTTCTCCTGTTTGCGCCACTTGGCCCGCCGGTTCTGGAACCAGACCTGAAACACATGATGAACGAGCGGTCTGATTAGGCGCCGTGTTGTGTCGTTCGTAAAAGGTTCTTAGCGACCGCGGCGATAACGACGAAGCCCGGAAGGATTCTTTTTGCGACCTTCGGAATCCTTCGCGTTGCGTAATCGTGCCGCAGTCGAAATAGTAATAATAACATTAATGATTAGCTATGTATATCTATAACTATGATGATTATAACAAAATATTCCGTATTTTCTTTTACCAATATATTTACCAATCTTTTCTGTAGCAAAAGAGATTTAATACTATTCAGATGTAACATCCAATCGCTTTTGATAATATCAAATATCTTATATTTTTATTTTTTCTAATAATAGTCTAGCATTTATATTTAATGCTTAATAACGTCCTTATGAAACAGTTCTTTATTACGAGTCTTAAATGTTGTAATGTTGATCGCTTTTGTAATTAACGTAAACAGGTAGCGGAAGTAAAGGTATAGACGATGCCGTTTAAATGTTTCAAGAAAGTCATTCGATTCCAGGTCAGAAAAGTAGTCGATAGGTACTTTCTTCCTTGGAAGTTGTTGATGATCCGCGAGAGTTCGAATTCCGGTTACAGTGACGCATTCTCCTCTTTTTCAGGAAGGTAGAGAGCAGCGTATTATTATCGTCGATGCTCCAAGGAAACCGAACTGCTGCGAGGCAAAGATCTGCTTGTCCATCTCTCTTTCTCTCTCTCTCTC